AAAAAAACCAGCAGTCATTTCTTAGCAAAAGCATTTGCAGAGAAATGTGTCTTTGGGGTTTGTGGATATGCATAGTTTTCTAGCATGAAAGCTGAATATGTTATTCTTTATTTTCTTTTTTTTTCCTGTTTAAAATTTAGTAGATCTAAAGGAAACAGAGTCCTTTAAGGGTACCTGTAATAAAGTACCAAACCTGACATTCGCACGGAGGTAGCAAAAGCCTTTGGGTTGTCACTGAAAATAGAAAAGGTGAACGTTGACAAGATTTCAGATTTTTTTTTTTTTTTTTATTCTGGGGAATGAGGGAAACTGAAGTTAAAAATAAAGCCCTCGTATGGTCAACATGTTGGAGGAAATTCAAAGCCTCTCATAAAATAAACATATTTTAAGAAGTGTTTTGAATTTCACTGTGTAATTTCTGGCCAACAGAAATTACGGTTGTATCTTTGGAGGGACGTTGTGTCAGATCAGTGGTCATTATGTGAAAAATATAAACTGCAACCTGGACGCCTTTAACCCATTCAGCTGTTTAAACCTGGACTCCAAGGGGGACAGCTCTGCTGCTGGAAAACTTTGCGCCACGGCGGTGCAATTCTAAAATATTTGGGTTTGATGTTTGGGAGATATGTGAAATATTCCTTGGGAGCAAAAAGCAAGTACAAAGCTTCGCGCGCTTTGGCAAAGAGATTCCATCAGCGGTTATTAAAAAATACAACAGTTTATGTCCCGAAAAATAAAGGAAATTATCCAAAGCATGTGAATAAGCTGAAATATCCCAGCCTGGAGCATGCTGCAAGTTGTTCCTGGGTTATATTTAGCTGTAACCCTTGGAGTCTGGAAGTCTGAGGGGAATATCTGCTGTGCCAGGTGAGGGTGGTGTGCGTGTCTGCAACACACCCTGGTGTAGCCAACGTGCCCCTTGTTTTCCAGCAGCATTATTAAGCAAAGCCGTCCATACTTCACCATGTTGTTACATGTGTCTGTCTGCTGATTATAAAATGTGTTAAACAGTATTTAAAAAACAAAAAAATGCAGAGCTGCGCTTTGATTTATTCAGCGAACAAAACATATGCTCGCTGTTCTGTTCTATGTAATTCATATGATCAATAAAATTTTCTTTAAAAAGAGCAACTTTGGCATTTAGAAGGATTATGCTGCTGAAGAAAAAAAAAAAAAATGTTTCCCTCTTGCTGCATGCAGGCAACCTCAAGGCTCTTGCACGGAAATAATTTTTTTGGCTGACTAATGTCTATTTTTGTGTATTTGTGATTTCTAATCCTCAGGATCGAGGCTGTGCATTGTGGCTGTTACCCGCTGTGTCCCAAAGCCTTGGTGTACCCAGAGATATTCCCAGGTAGCTGCTTTGTTGCCTATTCCTTCTGCTGAAACGTAATAACGTGATTCCTCCTAAAACCCAAAGTTTGGGAATAAACTTGAGTGAAAGCAATTGTTTATTTGGCAAGCCAACATGTTAGTGTTAAGGCAAATTTTATGTGTTTTAATACATTAGACGAAGTTTATATTTGCCATCTGTTCTTTTAAGATAACAAAAAAGCAAGTTTTGAAATAGCATTCTTCATTGTTAGCATACACATCCCGTAATGATAGATTTTTGTTAGAAGGTCACTGATGCTGCAATGGTTTGCAGATTTTTTTTTTTTGATACAGAGAAGAGGGAAAAAAAAAAAAAGCCAGGCCTGAAAATCACACCAAATTATTTAAACAATTTAATACTTAATAGTATGCAACTGCAGTACAGGATACACACTAATGTAGTACCAGTTCTTCGAAAAATCTCATCACTAAATGTATCACATATGCATTGTGTTACATTAGAATAATGTATTTTAATCACCCAAAGGAGATGTCTAAACAGCACAACTACACAGTCTTATTTAGCATTAAACATCCTTGTGAGCTGAGGTAACCTTATAAAATCATGCTTAAATAATGTAAAACACGAGGCGGCACAGAGCAATATGCATTTTTAATTAGTAAAGTGACTAATATCGAGTGTGTGCTTTGAGGTTTTTGTTTCATTAAAAATGTATCTGTTTTTCCTGCAGCTGAATATCTGTATTCTACACCTGAACAGCTTTTTAAAAGGCTTCAGAATTTCTGCAAGAGACCAGATATTGTAAGGAGACATCTCTATAAGGTAGTTGTTTGGAATAGTTTTAGATGATATAATGCCATATTGAAGTACAAAGGGGAAAAAAAAACCCTTAAAAAAACAACATTTAATTAACATACTAATGTTTAAAGGAAACATGCTAGGGAGGGATATTAGTCGTTACACTAACAAGGATTAATTAAACTAGATGCCAGTTGTATTAACCTAGGTCTTATGAAATACGTGCACTTAATGCATGCTACATGTTTTTTTTAATTTACTGTTTTCTGAAATGACTGTCCTTTACATTTGGACCCAAGAGGCTTATAAAAATGAACCTGGATTAATGAAACTCATTAGTTTAAAAGGAAAATAAAAGAAAGATCCTACAATTATACTAATGAGGATAAGCCTACCTTCCTATCCTAATTTAATCTTCAAAAAATGCAGGTGACAGGTATCAGGTAAGATTTCTTTGGCTTCTGGAATGATTTGAGTGATTTTCATAATTACGATTATTTTAATTCTTTGCTTTTTAAGGTGTGTGGAGCATTAAAGTTTATTGGGAGCATAATTTACTGGTATTTATCATGTCCCCTTTTTTGCAGTTATTTCTGTAGAGAAAGTCCAGGTTCAGTGGCAAACTCTCTATTCAGGTTTTGCTCAAGTGTTCAATGCTAGGCCGACTTTCATGGTTTTAAATGGTGTATTTACACTGATGGGAGTCGTGCTTTTCTTTTTTTTTTTTAATTTGAATGTAGATGAAGCACTAAATTTTACATTATTCCAGTGAAGAGCTGTTACTACACGATGCTGCTATCAGAAGAATGACTGCAGCTTTTTGCACGCTGCTTCGCACATTTACAGCGGTTTTTGACTTTTACTGTCCTGGCTCTGCCGTGGGCAGGTTGGAGGTTGGATGCACATCACCCCAGCACAACAGAGGTGTTTCAGCTCATAAAAACCCCTGAATTCAGCTGAAAGTCCTTAAAGGCTTGGGGGTGCATGGAAATACTCCTCGTGTTAACCCGTGCGACACAAACACGCTTCTTGGAGCGTTCCCTCCTCCATCCAGCCCCACTGTTAATGAGCAGGTCGAGTAATCTCCTCCTTAATTTGGAGTCTCCTGCTGCCAACAGACCCAACCTCATGCCTCCACCTCCCTCCCTCCCTCTGGGGACCAGAAAGTGTTGGGTCTTGCTGTGTCTCGTCTGCCTCTCTCCCCCTTCCTGCACACACATAGCAAGAGCAGCGAGGGCTTAGCCCACGCCTTGACTTTTTTTGTGACCTAAAAATAGGCATTTACATAATGATACATCAAAGATGATGTTGTTTCTGCAGGAAACAGTTAAACCTCAAGGAAAAAAAAAAAAAAAAAAAAGGAGAGAACCAAAAATGCAATTTAACACCCAATTTCAAGCTCATTATCTTTCATTGTCTATTAACTTGGCAATGGTTCAGAAGGTAGCTCATAATAGTTTAAAATGCTGACTGAACACTTCCAGTGTTCAGCATTACTTCTTGAGTCAATAGTATCGTAGAGTTAGGCATGGGGGCTTCAAAGGGAAAGCAGTCCTTAAATGTTTACCTTGGCATTTCCCAATGCTTCAAGCTCAGCTAATGGTTGTATTCACATGGATCTTCTCCCACATGGATCCCAGCTCCTGAACACAGAGCCAAGGCATGCAAAAAATACTGATATAAAATAGTACAGGTTGGAAATGTGTGCACAAGCCCTGTAGGCAAAATGCTGATTTGCTTGAAGTTGTTTTTATATTTTTTTAAGAATTCCTTGGGATGATTAGCAGGCAGAAGCTGAAGGTGTTTATCCTGCCCCTCATGCATGGGGTTTGCAGATCTTCTGAGTGTCAGAGCTTAACCTCTGCAACAGGTAGCAATGGAGCTGAGTGAGGGATTGTTTTAAAATGAGGAAAGCAGAGCCTAATCCAGCACCTGTGAGCAGCAGAGGAAATATCCCTGTTGTCTTTAATAAGCTTTGGATCAGCTCAGAGAATGCTGTTAGAGTTGTCCTTTTGTGCCTACACCCACGTACACCTAGTCTTCCTTTACTGTGGACCATCCACAAAACCTCCTGGGAAATGCTAGCTCAGAGCTGTGCTGTTAAGGTCATTGCATCTGGAGTGATGCTGCTTTGGAAGGAACTGAACAGAGTGAAATCCTGAAGGCTACGCAGCACTTGCACAGTATTTTCACTTTTTTTCAGATCACTATAATATTATCTCTGCTTTGGTGGGTTAGAAAAGAGATCCCAGCACAAGAGTCGGTGTTAACCAGCTCCTTGTCTTTCAGAAACCATCCTGCCATACTCTCTGCATTGAGTTTTTCAAGTACCTGTGACATTTTGGAAGTAGAAATGCTTAAAAAGCAAATAGTGCTTTTCTCTGCTGGTTGGGGATTCTGCTCCACAAGTTGGGAAGTAATCACCTTGGCTTATCCTTTTACATATTGTTGGGATTTTATTACTCAGGATATCTATAATAATTAGACAGTGGCTAATTAAACAGGCAGTTTATTCCTTCAGATGTCCTCAATGCTTGTGCTAACAAAATTAGTGGCAGAAAGGAGATAAATGGCAGCAGGGCAGTGGGTTTGGGGGCTGGACATAGGGAACATCCCTGTGAGAATGCACAGACCAAGGCATTAAACTGTAGTAGCTTAACTCCACAGAGCAGATTCCTGCTGGCAGACTTTTAAAAATGTCCATAATGTAAGCACCTATGAAAACCTTTCCAGATGATGTATTGCTCACCCTGAGTATTCACACAGCACTCAGGGCTGCCTCATCTGCGCTTCAGCCTTGCCTTCTGCCAGTTATTAGCAGAAGGCTGAGATGAGAGGGAAGCAAATCTCATTTGTTATCAATTATTTGTTCTGTTCCAGTTTCATGGAATCAAACTCTAGTTCTGGGTGGTTTTGGTTGCCAAGGTAAGCAGAGGACTGAAGCAAGTAACAACAACAGGGCATTGGTCAGGGCACACCACAGGACCTGTTAGTGTGCCCTATCTAGTAGATTTGAAGTTAAAATAAATAAAATAAAATAGGTCAAAACATTTGTTTCTGCATTATTTTCTTAAAGTTTACCTTTTAGTTTCCTCACTTGAGTTTCTTAATTTAAAACAGCATGTATAAAGAGTATACAGTGGAAAGGGACAAGAAGAGTTGCCAAAAGCCAGGCATGGAAGGAGCTGACAACTTTAAATAATCTCTCCCAGCCCTCCCAGCTGAATGAGTGCTGGTTGACATGCTGTCAGCTTCAGTTCCTACAGAAAAATCCTACTCTCACTCATGCTTGTTTAATGGAGAAAAGAATTTGGCCCACTTTCTGACATTCATCTTCTCATTTCCATCACACTACAGAAGCTCACCTGCCTATGAAAAGACACATGGCGTGATTTTTTTTCTTTCTGACACCACTGTAGAAGGAAGTCTGCTGAATTCAAAGGGATTAAACTGCTGTAAAATCAAATTAAGATCCCAGTTAGACCATAGACATCTGAATTGTTTCCAGTCTCAGGATTTGGCTGTATAGGGCAGTTCTAACAAAACTTTTTTTTTTCTTGTTTTTCTTTCCTTTTCTTTTTTCTCTGATTTCAGATAAAGCAGTATCTTGGGTTTTTCAGGGAAATGTGTAGAAGGGGAAAGCTGCTATTGGTCCAGCTTTCATGTTTAGGCAAAGCTAGGGAAGCAGCAGGAGGCACTCTCAGTGCAATATGCAGGGCATTGGGCACGTGAGGATGCAGGGGAGCCTGATGCCAGATGTCCCATCAGCCACTCAGCCCTGTTGTTCACAGTTCCTGTACAGGGCATGTGAGAGCCAGGGATGGTGCCTCTGCCTTTATCTTTACCCAATCCCCAGCAAAACTCCATTGGAAATTCATTTTTCCTGGTCTAGTGGAAAGTGTCCTTGCTCATGGCAGGGGCTTGGAATGAGATGGTCTTTAAGGGCCTTTCCAACCCAAACCATTCTATGATTTGTTTATGATGGTGTTTAAATAATTTCCTTAATTAGCTCAGGGGTTCCCCACCTTCAGTTGTGTGGAGTGTCTTCTTGTTCTGGAGTTGGTCGCCTGGAAGCAGGAGCTCCACATCCATCTTTATTGTACCATCCATTATTTTATAAACATTTGTCAAACATTTACACTATCCCAGTCCTTTCTGTCTCTCTTTGTGAATGTTATTCCTCATTTATACTCTAATCTCTCATCATTCAAGCAATTCTGATGCTTGAGAGCTGTTTTTGTGCTGGTGTGATCATTGCTTTAGAGAATTCTGGGCCGTGCCATCAGTTTATGTGATGTGTAGTACTCTGATAATTCCCAACCTGTTCCTTATGGAGCCAATCCTACTGTTTACTTTTTAATGGTGAATGTATATTGAGCAGATGTTTGCTTACAGTGTTCTCCAGATCTTTTGTCCCGGGCTGATAAAGTTAATTCAGAGCTTTATAGGGTATGCAAATAGAGCAAGTATTTCCATCCATCCTGCTGGCTTTCTGTTCACTAGCAGAGCAGGTTTGCAGAGTTAAAAAATAAGGAATTGTATTGAATTTCTGCTTTTACCTGGCTAGCATTAGGTGCAGGTCAGAAGGAGGTTAGAAACACAAATGAGAAGCTTGTATTTGCCTCTTGAGCTGCTCGGTTTCCCGTGAACGTGATTTAAAATGGTTTCAGAGGTGGGTTAGAGCTGCCTCTCAGAGTCTGTGGGGGAAGGAACTCTGGAGTGCAGAGCTCTCTGTCCATGCTCTCCCATCTCTGTTCCAGTGCTTAGGCATGCGATCCTAAGGAAAATATGTAAATCATAAGGATTTTTTTATGTGAAAGAAAACTTCCATTACTTATTTGGAGCACAGAATCACAGACTAGTTAAGGAAGGTGCCTCTGGGGGTCACCAGGCCAGCCTCTGCTCAAAGCAGGGCCAGTTTCAAAGTAGGATCTGACTTCAAACTTGGGTTAAGTTGCTCAGGATCACATGCAGGTTAGGCTCAAGTCTTGACACTTCCCATTCCCTGTGTGTGGCTGATACAGTGAACCCCCTGTCTAGCTTAGGAGTTTGCACAGGTGGGAAGATGTGCTGGGCTCTGGGACACAATTTAAGCATTTTGGGTGACCCTTAAGTCTTCAAGTAACTGTGGTAGAGGGAGGTCAGCCTGGCTAACATGAATCTTCACTGTGGAAGAAATGAGATGGCAGGAAGGGAGTTGGAGTTGTCTAATTTGGGATCCAGCTGTAGATAAATGGATATATGTGCAGATATATATGTGTGTAGGTGGCCTGCACCTGATCCCTCTGGGTTTGTCTCGCTCTTGGCTCTTTGAGGTAAAATATCCAGGAGACTCCAGGTCTCTGAAAATCACAGAATCATGGAAATATTTAGGTTGGGAAAGACCTTTAAGACCATTGAGTCCAACCATTGATCCAACATTTCCATGATCACCATGTCCCCAAATATTGGTCTGCAACTCACAGCAGTTGGCTGCACTTGCAGAGTAGGAATAAAGCAGTTATGGGGGCAACTTTCAGCATAAACACCAGGACTTGGAACTTTTAATCCTGACAGTATTAGATAGCTTCCAGGGGAGTTTTAGAGAGCAAATGAAAACTGGCAGATGAGCCACAGCCACTTCAAAACAGTAGATAGAGAAATGGGTCAAAGGAAATAGGAGGAAAAGTTGCAAAAAGCATGAAAACTTTTTTTTTTTTTCCAGTACAGTTTATTCAAATTACCTTGGGGAAAAAAGCAGGAAACTGTTTTCCCACTGTTACAGTCACTCAGTGCGTTCTGAGCCATCCTATGCAAGGTACTGCATAGATTTGCATTGAAAATTTGATGTTTTTTGTTTAAAGACAGCAAGAATGAGGTGAGTTTTAAAAGTGCCAATATAAGAAACTGCAGAACAGACCAGTTTGGTCAGGGAAATACTGTTACTCTGCTGAGGTGTGTTAAATAACTCTGCCTTTGGCCTCACAGGGCACCCAATTCATGTAAAGCAATGGTGGGGTTTGATGCTGGTCTCCAGAAGTGCTTGGAGTTTGAAAATTGAATTCCAAAAATAATTGCTGCAAACTGCTTTCCACCTTGATTCTTCCCCCTTACTCACTTGCAGAGTGAAGGAACTGGATCACAGAGTCAATCTGACCCAATACAAGTTGGCTCTGTTAATCATTCCAGTCTTGCCTGCCAAATCTCAGGTTTTGTGTGGCAAATTAATCTCTAAATCTTAATTTTGTTAAGGCAATTTTTTAAAAAGTGCAAAAAAATCTACACTAAATCAATACTGTGTGCTTGAACTTGAGCTGTCTTGAAAGAGCCATTCTGAATGGATGAAGACTCCTTATTAAATTCTAAAGGTTACCTCTGAAGTCTAATGATGGCAGAGTAGATATTAAGTGCTTCAGTTCTGATCTTAGGACACTAGAAACAAGTTGATTATTTAATGAAAAATACTGTTCTGCTACTGACATTATGCTGTTTGCTCTTTATGGGAAGATGCTGCTTTATTTGAAAATGTGAAAACTTTTCTTCTTTTGATCCCCACATATTTAGGAACTGTTGATGGAACGATGGTGGTTGAATTTTATTCCTTGAAAAAATGAATGTCCAGATCTTTGTGTGGTTATCACTCCTCAAAAAAAAAAAAAAAAAGAGATTATTCCCAAGTAAAGCCCAGAGTGATGATGGTCTGGCAGAGCCAGGCCCTGCTCCTGCTGGCTCATGGTTCTGCCATGTCTGAGGGTCAGAGGGGCACATTGGTCCCTGAGGGTGTTCAGTCCTTGATGTGTCCAGAGACCACCTGAAAAGCAGAGGGAGCGAATAACCTGGGCCTCATGACCAGCTTACCTGTCTTAGAAAAAAAGCAAACCCTGAATTCACCCCATTTTTAGATAACACCACATCAGTGATCTTTGACCACGTGTCTTCCACCCCTCCTGAAATCCTTGCTGCATTTTGTGTCCCAGCCTCTAACAGGGCTCCGTGTGCTTCTCTCTTGTGCTTCCTCACAGGGCGAGACGGCCGGGTTTTCTTGGGCAGCGCTCGGCAGTAAATTCAGGTCTCTGCTCGCAGCAGAACCGAGGGAAGATTTGTGACAGATGGGGCTAAGTCACAAACTTGCAGCCTCAGGCAGAATTGTGGAAGTTTCCAGAGTGTGCCCATATTTACCTGATCAGAGAGAAAAGAAAATCTGCAGAGGAAGCCGAGCCTGGCTGCTTGTCATAGCTGACACAGAGCCATCTGCCACAAACCTGTGGCGGCTTCAGATCTCCAATCCCTGCCACCACCCCAGCTCAAATTAAATACAGATTCTTAGAGACGTTATGATGGTTACACATGTCCTCGGCATCACATGCAGGAGACTGTTCAAAAAAAATATGTGGCCTGTTGTGTAACCGCACTCATGTATCCCATATGTGGTGCCACATTGAATTTCCGGTTGAATCTGTTTTTATCCTTTGTACTGGATGACATGGTGCCTGAATTCTTTCTTTTCGCCGACACGATGGCAGCCAAGCTGCAGCTTCAAACGCTCACACTTGGCTGAGTTTCTACCTAGGTTGCCAGGTTATCATTGGAGCCTTATTGTGTCCTCAAAGGGCCACAGGGCCTGAAAGGAGGATCCGAATGCTGCCGGACTAATTGGGCAGCCATCTCCGGGTTGTTGGGAGGCAAAGGGCTGCTTGAGCACTTCTCTTTTTCTTTTTTCTTTTTTTTTTTTTTTTTTTTTATTGCAAATTAATGACTCTCTGGCAAAGGGATTTTTAAGTGAAGGTATTAATAAGGGGTCTGGCAGGTAATCCCATGATTTGTGGAGTTACATTTGCATTTAATTAATCTTAAAGAAAGCTGAAAGATAAACAGCTGTAATTCAAACTAGCATGGGAAATATGCTACGTGGTGCCATCTATCCGATAAAATGAAAGCCGAGACACTTGTTTTATTTCTCTCAAGGATGGAGAACAAACAGATAACAATCAAAATACTTCCAATAAAAACCAGTAGTTTAAATGTAATGGCAGTTCATCAAGAATCTTTGCATCCAGTTGCAAATACAGTCTTTTAAAGATAAATCACTTATGATTCCAGCAGTCAAGCCGCAATATTTGTTGATGTAAAATGTTTTGAAGATGTAGATTGTACAATAAATTTTTAATAAAGTGCCCACTGCAATTTTTAATTAGCATATCTCATTCATGTATAAGTGTGTACATCTATCTGTATGTTTATCACCATGCATATCCTTGTGTCAGAGTCAATGAATGCAATTGTGTCTTTATCTGATGAAGTAGAATTTGGTTTGCAAGCGATAATAAAACCTTATGGCAATTCCAAGATTTTCATCTCTGCTCTGGGAAGAAGCAGGAAGAGGACTCTGGGTAAGGTGTCATGATGTGAAGCCTGGTAAGGCTTGTCTTTGCAGACAGGTGTGGTCTCAGCTTCCCTTGGATCAGGCAGAGCAGCTCCTCTCCCTGAAAGGGGTGAAAGGTACAGGCTGATCCCCCTCCCCACGAGTGTCTTCGTGACTTTTGACACCATCGGGAAGCTGAAATGTCATTTTTCAGAGAGAGAGAGAGAGAGAGCATGTGTTACTTCTTGTTAAAATTACCCATAAAGCAATCAAAAAACAACCCAGGCAGACCCAATGGAAAGTGTTTGATTATTCTGCTAGCACTGCAGAGTTGTAATTTTGCAGTTATCCTCTTTCAGTAGGTGGGTTCCTCCTCCTTTCTGCTCAGCCAAAGCCCAGCTTGGCTTTAGGCACAGCTTGTGGTTGGGTGGACGTGGTCTTCCCAAGAGCATAGGCCTGGTGGTCATCCTTGGAAGACCCAAGGAACAGGACTGCCTTGCACTCCTACCAGAGTGGATCATAGATCTTCACCAATGTCATCACACCTTGCACCAGCCAAGTGGAATATTTGTTGGCTTTACTGCTGGGGAAACTGAGGCATGGTGCAGTTGTAGCAAACTGCTTCAAGTATCACAGTGAGTCATTCTCCAAACCAATAAAAGGGAAAGAGGAGATGCTGTAATGCTGCACTCGGGCTTGTGGTGAGCAGACTCGAAACATCAAAGCTGTGTGGTTTGCACTCAAAGGCTCCTGCTGTCCTCTGGGCACACCCTCATCAGCCCCACCACCAGAGGAGGTCTCACCCAGCTCCTTGGTGAGGTGCAGCTCTGCCCTGCTGAACCTGCTGACAATGATTCTTCAACCATGCCCAGCTCTGTCTGCTGAGCAAGGCTTCGTCTTGGTGGAAAATTTTTCCCTTTTTATGAACTCTTGCAAGTAATGTTTTATAATAGAAACTCTGTGAGGAGTTTAATTTCAGGGTAATAAATAGCAATGCTGTGTTATCTCCTGATATTTCTTTACATTCTTAGCAGAGATGCACAGCTGCTGTGGAGCAAGGATCCCTGGAAGTGTTCAAGGCTGAATTGGACAGGGCTTGGAGCAGCTTGGTCTGGTGGAAGGTGTCTGTTCTCATGGTGGGGGATTGGAAATAGATGTTTAACCTTAAAGATGACCTTAAAGGTCCCCTCCAACCCAAACCATTCTGATTCTGTGTCCTTAACACATCACAGGATGTGTCAGGGAACCACCCTGGCCTGTTAGAGTGGAGGGTGTAGAGTGGACTCTACAGGAGTGATGTAGGACTGACAGGTGGCCAGAGGTGATACTTGCAGGGCTTCCAGGTAGTCAGAGGTGATGTTTTCCCCCCTGAGTGTCCCTTCAGCACTGCAGACTGCAACAATCTGCGGAGTTTTGCCTCTCAGTTTCAGCAGGGGAAACGAGAGTGTCACCCCGTGCTGCTTCATTTCAGTCCCTCGCTTCAGAAGGTCAGAGGGACAAATTGGGATCTCGGTCCCGTTGTTCCTACACACATGAGTAAGCAGCGAATGCAGACACCTAATCCTGTGAGTAGAGCAAGAGAATTGAACCTTGACTTACTTTCATGTTTATTGATGTTTCACCTGCATTGACACAGTGGCGCCAAGGCTTTGAGACAGGTTTCAGTGCAGAGTCAGAGCTGGGTTTCCCCGACTCTGTGCCAGTCTCACCCTGACCAGACAGCTCCTCCTGCATCAGTAACAGGCCAGGCACCTAATCCTGCAATCCTTTTGTCCTAGCATTTGAGATCACAGGAAACACAGGTTTATGCCACATGAGAATTGTCTTTTCCCTTATAATTGAAAGGAAAATCCTAAAACAATTAGGAAATTCTGTAGCAAAGCGTTTCCAGCATTCCTAGCCCCACTCTGGTGCTGCAGGCACAGCAAGGAGCTGTGGCACCGACCAGCTTCCATCCCTGTTTGCAGCACTGAGACCTCTGCCTCAGCTCAAAGCTGTTCTGAATTAGGTGGTTAGATTTTTCTAATTGCGTTTTTAAAGACCGAGCCAGCAGTTCATTAGAAATCACGGAGCAAATTCTGCTTCTCTATTACACCAATATAAATCTTGAATGAATTTATATCAGGATAACTGGGAGGGTAGAATGTACCTCCCATCTTGTTCCTCAGATTATTAAAAGTTAAAGGGCCTTGAAAATTAAATTCACCTTTCCCTGTTCAAGCTGTTTACTCTGTTTTTTATTCCAGAAAGGACAGTTGAAAATAATTAACCAACCTCCCTTCTGCTTATAGGCACTTTTGAGTTGGGTTCTCATGTACTCGCCCAAGACTAGTTTGTGTGGAAAAGACCAGAGGGCATTTTCTTTCAAACAAATTGTTTTCATGGGAATAATTTCCCAGAGAATTATATTAAAACCTTTCTGTGAATCCTTGATTTTTGAAAAAAAAAAAAATTCCTCTATTCCTCTTATATATCCTTGATTTGGAGGACTTGGCAGTGTATTTGCAGATATAAATGAGCACCTTAATGAAAGTCCTTCAGGATTCTACCTTCTAACAGGCTAACCTTATTTAACCGAAATACTTCTTAGCGAGGAGAGGAAAACCTTGCAGGAAAATTTTGGCTCTGAGTTTCCAACCCTTGCAAGTAAGGTTTTATAATAGAAACGCTGATAGAACTTTAATTACAGGGCAATAAATAGCATCGCTGCCCAATCTTCTGATATTTCTTTGGATTCTGAGCGGAGGTTCGCAGCTGTTGCTGGAAGCTGATGATCGGGGGCTCTCGGGGCTGGGAGTTGTTCCCCCCACCCCGCGGAAGCAGCGGCGGCAGCAGCGAGCGCGGAGCGGGAGGGACGCGGCCGGGGCAATCGGCGGGAAACAGGGGAGGGCAATGGGGACAATCGGGACCCTGGCACCGAATATCCCACCCGCGGAAAAGGTTTTCCCGTCCCGCTGAATGGCCGAGAGGATGGAGGTGGGGGCAAGCCAGGTTAAACGAGGCCAGTGGCGGTAAAATAAATGAGTAATAAGAATAACGAGAATTACGAGGGGCTTGAGCCGGGGGCGATCGCTGTCGGGGCAGCCCCGCGGTGCCCTCCGCGCATCCCGGCGCATCCCGGAGCTGCGGGCGGAGCGGAGCGCGGCTTCCCCGGGAAGCGGGGGCCGGACACGCCGCCCGCCACTCTTATCATCGACATTATCGATTATAAAAATATTCTTCTGAAAATCCGATTCTTCCGTAACATTGGTCTATAGAGACAGCACGGAGAAAGGCTCCCCCTCCCCTGCCCGCCGCGGCTTTTCCGCGGGTGCGGAGCGGCCGCCCGCGATGCGCAGCCTTCCCCCAGCCCTGCGCGCCTCCGGCCGCCCGACCCCGGCTCTCCTGCGGTTCCTCCAGTAAAAACACAACCCCCAAAAAACACCAAGAGAACAAAAAAATACCCCCGAGACCCCGAAAGAAATCCCGGGCAAGGAGCGCGGCGCTGGGGAGGGATGGGAGGGATGCGTGCGAGGGGCTTAACCCTTGGAGCTTTGAAGGCAAAACAAGGAAATACGTTGGAAAAGCATGTCTGTAAACAATGATAATTAGCCTTTTCAAAAATCATAACACTGATTAAAATCTCGGATTCATTATTTATTCATCACAGAACCTCTTTGCAGACCTGGGAATAGTGATTAAAACCTAAGTGCTTCTCAATTTTGCACAGCTCAAGAGGAGCCTAAAAAGGGGTTAAAATGGAAAGGAAAGAGGAAACCAAGCAAACAGAATTCTTCTTTTAAGAACCAATACTTTCTTCTTCCCTTCCTGGCAGGAATACTCTTATTCCCCCAAATTTTGGTATTATGAAAATGTTTCTCATACTAAGTACAAGTGTTAGACTGAATCCAGTTGGTACTAAAATTGCAAACACACTTTCACTCCTAGAAAAGCCAACAGAAAGGAACTTCTTTTAACTCCATAATAGCAGGTTACAGAGTAAATGAACAACTGATGGTCAACTGGCCAATTATGGTATAAATATCCGTTGTTTACAGCGAGGTGTTAAATGAGCCTTTCGAGCACAAAGGATCAGACTGTCTAAGCTACAATTTGTGCTTCATCCCATTATGTCTCCCCGAAAAAGGCCCGTGCCGTTGTAG